TTCCTTGGAAGGTAGCCCAGCTGGTGAAGCACATTCAAGAAAGAAAATTCTCCCCCGCACCATCCCCCGCCCCCAGTCTCCCTCTGTCCCTGCGTGCCACTCCCAACCGATAAAGAGAAGTATGAGTTAGTGTTTCTTTTGTAAACAATTTCATATGCAATATAATACAGAAAGCATGGCTGACCTTCAATAAAAAATGTAGTAAACTATATTGCTTTATTCTTGATTATGCTGCAGTGAGCGAATGGCAGGATGAAGCAGTGTGGTGTGGTGGTGGCTAAGTCCCTAGCCCTCGTTTGCACTAAAGATCAAAATAGGTTTTGTTTTTCTATTTGGAACCAAAAAAAAAAAAAAAAATTTTTTTTTTCAAAATCCCCAAATGAAAAAAGACCCCCCCCCTCAAAAAACCCCCCAAACAAAAACAAAACAAAAAAACTGAAAACAAAAACTGAACACCTTTCAGGTCATTAGGACCAACAATTACCCAATGATTTTTAGACTAGTCTAGCAAGATGTGTGTAACATTCACTGGCTGTGAATTGCTGTGCAGTGAAACAGGAAATGGACAGCAATAGAGCCATGCTACCTTAAAGTCCAAGCTACAAGTTCAAATTAGGATGAAGGTTATGAAGGAGAGAAACGCAAAAAGGCCTGTCGGGGCTTCGTTTGAGTCAAGCCAATGAGCGAATGGGATAGAACACGAGGCTGTTTGGTTTTCCCAATGGGCGTGAGGAAGGCCACAAACCAGGGCTGAGAAAGCTCCTGGGGAGGGGACCAAAGGCTTGGCCGTCCCCGTCAGCTCCATGTCCAGGTAGAACCAGGAATGGGGTCCGGGAGCTAATGCCACTCACTCCCCTCTGCTTGGGAGGAGAGGAGTTCGGGGGTCCCAGGCAGATGGATCTGGAAGCCAGAAAGTCACCCGGTGGCTATTTTGTGATTCCAGGGGTTGGGGGGGAAGCCATCAGCCAAGAGGGTTTCTCCCCCGAAAGGCGAAAAGGTGGTTCCCAGGTTCGCCACTGAGCTTAACTGAAACAAAGACAAGGCTGAACATCAGTGCTAAAATAATTTATGAAAATCTTTCAAAATGGACTTCTAGATGAGCGGGGGGACTAACGTGAACCTTAACCTAGGTAGCCACATTAAAACATATCAGATTTCCACGAGATTTGTGCTATGGGCTACTGGGTCTCTTCAAAAGGTATTATAAACATCTAAAACATATTCACACAGATTATCAATTTCTTCTGAGCATTCTTAAAAAAATATTTTTTTCTCTTAGTAAAATCATTTTAATATACCATGCCTCCCTCTTTTAAAAAATAAATTAAAAAAATCCAGTTTTGCATATCTAGCATTAGCATTTAAGGTAGTATGGCACACCCCTTCACAGTTTTGGGGGGGGGGTTGGGAATCTACAAAACGCCATAGAGTCTGCCGGCATTTGAACATCATGAGACCTTGGGTTAGTTGAAACCACATCAGATCAGCAAAAATAAAATAAAAAGTCGAAATTGAAAAAAAAAACAAAAGGAAAAAACTGCCCCAAAATTATTAGCAATTTTTTTTTCATAAATAAGAGAAAGTTCTATCCTTACTGGTCCTAAATCTGAATAACTATGTCTAATTTTTTTTAAACCTTAATTACGTTATACCTATCAATATGTCCTAGAAGAAAGAGAAGAAAAAAAGTCACTACACTAGTACGAGGACAGCACACTTACAGGATAGCCATTTTATACATTATTAACAGACAGTGATCAACGAAGAGTCTTCTCTGAGGTGACGGGGATGCAGAGAAAGGAAGGTACTACAGTACATCACCAACATGGACAAAATAGTAATTAAATTCCCTAGTCTAGACACTGAATTTCTGGGAATTTATGGTCTTTTTTCTTTTTTTTAATAAAACTTCTATTTTGTTATTTTATCACTTGAACAAGTTTTGATATTTTAAAAGCGCCCAGCATTTTACTTAACTTGGTTGTTTGGAAATAAAAAAAGAAAGAAAGAAAAAAACAAAACAAAACAAAAACCCCTCACCAAACAACCTAACATTGAATCGGAAAAACAAGATTTTTTTTTTTTTAAGTGTCATTGCTGTTTAATTAGAATTGGAAAAGGCTTTTTTTCTTTCTTTCTGAGTTAGCATTTTGGAGCCTTTTGTTTGAAGATGCTTTTGCCCTACCATGTCTGTGAATGTCTACATTAGTCTACTTTGTTAGTAAAATTTATAAAAATAGGAGTGCAGCAGCTCTTTATAATAAATGTCGCATTCAGTGTCTCATACCGGCTGTGCCTTAAGTACCAAATTTATAAACGTAACAATTTAAAAAATATTAATAAAACGTCAATATCACATTTTAAAAAAGAAAAAATATATATCCACACTACAATATGTTTTAATGCCATCTATTGAGTTGTACTTCTATAGTTGCTGTTGCCGACCTATTACCAATATTAAAAAAAAGTTAAATTAAAAAATATCCTTCATCATAAGTATCTTTCCCCAGCTGAGGACCATATATTATAACAGCCAAATGTTAAACATGTGCAAACAGGAAACTGTCAGTTTTTCCCACCAGTCACAGTGCAGCGATGTTTATACTTTTTTTATTTTTAAAATTCTGTTTACATCTACAATAAATTAAAAAAAAAATTCTTCCATAGCCTCTCTGGTGATACTTGCAGCACTGAGGTATTAAAAAAAATATATAAACCAAAAGGTTGCTCTCCTAATTTGTAAATAGGAAGTGAATGGAGAAAAGTTTTCATTAATGCAGGCTTCTCTGTCCCTGGCCCGAGCTCCCCCCCCACCCCCGGAGCTGGGGGGAGCCGGTGGGGGGGGCAGGGGAGCAAAGAGAGGCAAAGTGTCCTAGGGACCTTTGGAGGTGCTGAAATGGTTGGACAATAGAAAATGATCAAATATTTAAAAATTAAGACTGAAAAAGAATGTCCCCCCACCCCCTCCCCACCCAAGCCAAACAGGTGTGCTTTGAAACTTTAAATATGTTAAATATTAAAATTGTAGCTTTGTTTTTAAAAAACGTCTTGGGAAAAGCAGTCTTTCATATTTTAAATAAAAATCTAACTAGACGGTAACATTTGAAGCTGTGCACAGACGAGAGGTTAATATGCTGGTATGACACTAATATAGTTCTTAGGTCTATCACACAGACAGAAGGAGCTAAACAGTGTTCTAACTTTTCCCGGGGGGTCGTCCTGGCAGCGGGGGGGGGGTGTCCTTCCGCCTGGGAACCGACTCGGTTTATCATGCCTTCCCCTCCTCCTCCTTCCACAGAGCATCAAACTGCCTGGGACCGACTCCCTCACAAAAATATTTTTGATTCTCTCTTTCTTAATAGTTTCTATGTAGTTAATGGAATTGTATTTACAACGCTTTTTTTTTAGAATTCACAATTTCAAAAAACCTTATAATATCACCTCTTTCAACAGAAAAAAAGCACTTATAGAAAAGGAGGACACTCAAAACATGGTCGTCCTTACCTTATTGCCGAAAATAGATATACTTAGGTTAACAAAGAGACGTCACAAAAAAGAACCACTACAGAGTCTGGTAATTAGCCTACTACATCTCACTTATACAACGCAAAGGAGAAAGTTTATGCCCACCTCCCGCTCCACACTTCACAACTTTGCTTCCACGGGTGCGCAAGCTCCACTGGAAAAGCCATACAGTCTCAGAACTGGTACCAAAATATTGAGTAATATTACCATCTCAGCATCCTTTAAAAGTGAGAACAGAATCAAAACAAGCAAAAAAAAAAAATCTTTTTAAGAAAAAAATAATACCTTAATATAACAATTATACTATGGTTAGCTTTTAACTAGATATTAAAGCTATATGACTACCGGACTAAGTCAAAATCACTACCAAATGTGATTCAAAGAGATTTAAAAGGAGAAGGCGGGGGGAAGAGAGAAGAGGAAGGGAAACCAGCAAGAAAAACAAAACAAAACAAAACCAAAAATCATGGGTTATATACACATTTAAAAGCTGTTGTCTTATATTACAGCAGATTCGTGAGATGATGAGATGTAGTCAACCCTCGATCCGAAGTGAGCCATCTCTGGTTGGGATGGGGAGTGAGGCTGGTGGGGGTCCAGGTCTGATGACATCACCTAAACAAAGGGCCACTCAGAAACTTCGCCCAGTCTTGCCTGGACATCCAGGTATGCTCTGCAGGGCGCGGAAGGTCACAGATGCCCAGAGGAGAACATAAAGTGGGAAGTGGGAGGAGAGAGATGTGTCAGGCAAACATACGACTTATTCCAACTTTTTAACTAGCGCTTTCACAGTACGACTACATCGGGCTACTGAGTACGTCTGGAAACGGCCAGGCTAACAGCTTACTGGGATCACGGCTTGGGAAATCTGACATCTTCACCACGCCTGACACTGGGGAGCGGACAGCTCTGCGACTCATTGTGCTCATTTGCTATTTTGCTGATTTGATACGGCACTGGTGAATTCTTGGGGGGCGGGTGGGGTAGTGGCAGGAAATGTGGTCAGCAAATGCGGCCATGCTGGGTGTTTGGCTACATTGGGTGAATTGCAAACTGACGAGGGATGCTTTTTGTTCTGGTTAAACTTCAGGTTTTCAAAGCCAAATGTTTAAAAAACTACTTTATCAGATACCGTCAATGATTGCCAATAACTGAAAATGCAAATTTAAAAAAATCTAAAAAAAATTATATTTCGTATCGAGGACTCGAGGTCAGGAAAAACACATGCAACAAATAACCAGCTTTGGTCATAGAAAATAAAAACAGGCCCATGACTCACAGACTTGCTGAGTCTCCCTGAGTCCACCGTGAGCCTGGGCACCTCCTCTGTGGAGGGGACTAAATGTCAGAGAACGAAACCTCGGTTATGGACAAAGTGTGTGTTTCGGTTCAAACATGTGACTCAGTTGGTTCACTTCATCCATTTTGGAGGAGGGTGGTGGAGTGTTACCACCAATCCCTTGGCTACGTTATCCTTCTGTGGGAACCGCGTCCTAGAGTTGGCTGAGGAGGATGGGCTGGATGCCTTGCCCTCCCCTGGCTCCTATAGTGGCCGTGGAGGGGAGGGCGGGCTGTGGTGGGAAGCCCTACCCCATCCTCATCTCCAGGGGAGGGAGAGTGCAAGGAAAGCCGGGCAGCCGCAGTGTCTGACCTTGCAGGGGTCTGCTGTGCCTGGTAGCTGTCCCATCCCCTCATCACCTGACTCCACCAAGGGCTGGAGCTACCTCCAATCCCCAGAGTTCTTGGGGAGTTCAGTCCACTTTGCTCTCAGAGGAACCTTACTTCCCCTGGGCCCCCAAACCCAGCTTAATTAGTAGTGAGTAGCTCTCCTTCAAACTGTTAGTGGCCTCTGGCTCTGGCCAGCAATGGCTGGGTCAGTGCTCAAAGAGGAAGTGGAGGTGAGGGGTTGGGAGAATTCACACACGGGGTTTATTTGGTTAAGAGAGGCGGTTGCATTAGTTGAGGTGATTCCTTAGCAGCAACATTAGAGAAATCCAAAAGAGATTTATGGAGCTCAACTCAATCTGGTCCCCCAACTGGGCCCACCCGAGAGAGTCCTGGCTGACTTGGGGGCCTAGAGTGATCCCCTCTATGAGAGAGAGGTCCTCCTAACTGCAAACCAAAGTGGCAAGTCCATCTCCAGCCTTGCTTCTCCTACATCCCAACTCCCAGAGGGAAAGGTGCTCCTGCCCCAGCAGGGACCCAGGCCCAGCCTCAGCTGTCACCCTCCCTCTTCCAGAGAGACAGACCCACGTCTCAAGCCCCCAAACTAATGCGCTACCACAGTACGCACTTAGCTTTCACGAGAGAACCCGTCTTCCTTCTCGGGGTTCCTCCTGAGAGCAACAGATACTCATTTTCCAATGAGACTGTGGCAAGAGGCTCCTTCACTGACTGCCCCAACCCCCCTTCTCCTCCACTCCGCCCCTTCCATACCCCCATCAAAGTGATTTAAAAAAATGTTTAATTAACTTGAGCTCAGTTTAAAAGGTTAGGAAACTGGCAGGGATCCAAATCCATGTTACGCAGGTGATGTCGTTAATTTAATTTGCTTTTCGTGCGGTAATCTGGATAATTACTCAGTAGTTACTGGCAAAAATGTTTTCTTTTCACTAAAAGATGGGTCTGGCTGTTTGCATGAACCCCATTGGCCAAAGCCAGCAAGCGCTGGGGGGCCGGAAGGGTCCAGACACCTAAAAGGCCATCTCGTGGGACCCTGGAGGGGTTGGCCCTGGCCCCCGCCCCCAGACTTGGCTGAGGCCCAGGGTTCTCCTGCCTCCATCCCCCCGGGACAAACAACAGCACCAGATCACCTTCCAGTTTCCTACACTCTTGACTGTATTTTAAGGCGGAGAAAGATGAGGGGGTGGGGAAGAAGATAAAGAAAGGGAATCAAAAGAATCAAATTGAGAAGAATTAAAAAAAAAAAAGGTGGGGGTCATGATTACAGCTGGAGGAAAGGAAGAGAGAGTAAAAGACTGGATTTTTTGCCCCCACCCCCCTGCCAAGGGGTCGGGGAAGAGGAGAGAGAGGTGTTGGCGCGATGGGGCCAGGGCCCGTGCGTACTTGCATGCCAGGGCACACACATGTACGACGCGCCCGGCAGGGCGGAGACACAGGGCAGAGAAGGTAGTACCTCAGAGTGGGGTGGCAACGGAAGCACCTGCTCAATGGTATCCATTTGTAAAGGCCGTTGCAATCAAAGGTCCCTAAAATTGCACAATTGTTAAGGTCATCAGCACGCTATACACGGGAACAGATTGTCATATTCTGGGAAAGGAAATTATCTCTAGAACTAGACCGTGGTTGCCAGCATGAATATGTAATTCTGAGACACTGCGCCACGAGGGGCCCGGAGGCCGTCCTCCCTGGCCCCGGGCCCTCCAGCCCCCACACCCCGCCCCAAGCCCGTCTGCTTGCCCAGGGGGTAATCGAGAGCCAGATGCACCAGGGGGGTGTGTGGCTGAGGGGAAAGGGAGGCCTCGGCCCAAAGTGCTGGGCGCTGCTGCCTTGGACCCCGGAGGGCAAAGATACCCGTGTCTCTGCCCACAGTCCCGACAGCTCCAGCTGGGGAGAAAGCAAGCCCAGCGCAGACAAAACATGATGCCACGCGTGGTCATCTCAGAAAAGCGCCATGACCCACAGGTCAAGAGACCCAGGTTTTCAAGAACGAATAGGGTCTGTGTTTCTGGGCGCTGCAAATGGAAATGAGCTGTGCTCTAGGTGGTGAAAGATGGTCTCCCAAATTGATGCAGCTCTAAACTGAATAATAATACTCTGGGGATCTGGTACTACAGCTCAGCTGAGTGGATCTGACTCATCAGACTCCTGACTTAAGTGATATTGGTTCGGGAGTGGAACTGCACAAGGACCCAGACTGCACGGGCCAGGGGTGGCGGCAACGTGTGCCTGCGTGTGCACACGTGTGTAAGCCAGTCTGTGAGAGAAAGAGTGCATGTGCGTGGGTTAAAAGTGTATGTGCGCACCCCTGCATGCGTGCGTGCACCCGTGTGTGTGTGTGTGTGTGTGTGTGTGTGCGCGTGGTTTCCAATGCTGGGGTGGGGGGTGGGCAGGGAGCGGTGCCCTGGTGCCCCAGACTTGTCCGCACTTGCCCTGTTCTCCCCAGCTCAGCCCGAGGTGGGGTTCTCCTGACAGGGACAGGGCCTGGAACAGCAGACACTTCCATCTTAGCCCCCAAACCAAACCGCCTCCAAAATGCTGAGGTTGGCTAGAACGGAGGGTGGCCAAATTTCTGTTTCCCAAATGGAAGGGACAGCGAGCGAGTGGGCTCAGGCACATTCATGCTCACACACACGAGGAGGGGGAAGAACAATACAATCTGAAAATGGCATGCAAATCTGTTAAGCAAATTTCCATTGCCTGGATTAGTTAGATTATAGAACCACAGAGCATTACAAATATCAAACGCATCTGGCCTTTGCGGGGTTGCGGCTAAAGAACACAATTGGGAACTTACTTGGAACCTGGAAACTGTAAGAAACATTAGCAAAGGAAACCACCTGGGAGGTAGCGTGCACCCCACACCGTGTCCCAGGGCCGAATGCTACCTCTGGACCTCAGGCCCGGGGCCTCGACCGACCAAGGCTGCTATCCTGAGGAGGGGGTGGGGGGCCCCCCAGCTCCTCAAGTCCCAGCCCACATGGCTGTCTCCAGGAGGCAGGGATCAAGCAGGGGGGCCGATACCGAGGGCCTGTTATGTGCTAGCAGGTGACGTATCCTGTTTCCATTAATTCTCACACCATCTTTCGAGGGAGGCACGGTTATTGTCGTTTTGCAGCCAGGGAAGTGAAGTTCCGATGGGTTATGTAAGAGGCTTAAGGTTGCATGGGCTGAAGGTGATGGAGTGGGGATCTGAACTTGACCTGCCCGTGCTCCTTCCACTCCATCACATGGCCACACACCGGTTGCTCAGGAAAAAATCGAAGCAGGAGCTTCAGCCCCAGGCAGCTGACGGAATGTGGACGGGGGAGTGGGGACCCACTGTCCTCTCCTTGGCCCCCAACCCTGGGCTCTTCTGGCATACTCTCCCATGGGAGACAGGTGGGAAAGGAGGAGGCGGGGGGCGGGGGTAGGTACTTACAGCTATGCCGTGGCCGAAGCCTGAACCCGGCTGTGGGCTGGCCGCACTTATGTAATTCCCCACTCCGGAGTCCTGGCTGGCAGGGCCGTACAGATCGGCGACAGGTCCTGGGCTGTTGGCCCCCGGGAAGCCTCCAGGCCGCGCGGGGTTGGAGCCTGCCGGGGAAGCGGGCGCGCCAAAATTCGGTTGAGCACTGTAGCTATTCAGGACTGGTGTGCAGAGAATAGAGCTGGGTATGAGGCCAGAAGCCAGGCATGCACCGGTCATTACAAGCCAAACACTCGAGAAAAACAGCTGAGGCCCAACTTCTAACACTCAACCAAGGCCATGCGAAAACATCAGCAGGGACTCAAGAATACTCAGCCCAGGCTACTACTAAGAAGCTCGGAGCTCCGAAAATAGAGAGAATAAAAAAACAATCATTCAACACACTACAGCAACCAACCGGAGGTGCTTCACTACCCACCAAATTATCACAAGAGAAATAGAGATATATATGGAAGAGAGAGAGGAAAAGAGAGAGAGAGATTGGTTTTCACATCTGAATTGGTGCTCATGCAGTCTTGTCTAGGTCTGGGCACGTTGAGACAGCATTCACATCCCATGCAAACTACAAAGGAACTAGTTTTAGACTACACATTGTGTTAATATTGATATTAAAACGTGACAGGAAACAAAGCAATTTGTGTCCAGGAAAAAAAAAATCTTTTGGGGAAGGGATTTAAAAAAAATTTTTTTTTTGTTTCGCTTTTTCTTGTTTGTTTGTTTTTGGATCCATTCAATGACGAATTTGTTTAAAAAAAAAGACAAAAAAGATCTCCATTCTCCAGCCCCCCCCAAAACCACTTCCCCCCTCCCCACTGGCTACGTCCTCCCCCCACCCCCATTTATATCCCTGTATGAAAGTCGTCACTACTGAACGTGGTCGGAGGATGGGATATGTCATGGAAAATTTGGGCATCTTAACGTAACCGTAATGATGGTGGCAAGGGGTCCCCTTCTGGGGTGGCGAGCAGGGGATGGAGGGGGGGTGGGGATGGCGAATCTGGAGACTGGGGCCGAAGCCGGGTGAATGCCAATGGTTCTACAGGACACCCACACACTCACCTCCTGCAGTAGAAGGAAAAGGGGGGTTTAAACTTTTTTTTTCCTTTTGTTTAAAAAAAAAAAAAGACAAAGAAGTATGAATGCAGAGGATACTGACTGAACCGATTTACAGCTAAAGCGTATCTGACCGAAATGCCTGCTGTCTGTTAGTCAACCTTATATAAACTCCAGACTGAGACAAAGAGCTAGGAATGCACCTGTGCTCTAGAGAGGAGACTTCACAGCCACAGATCCTGAGAGTGGTGGTGAGGAGGGGCAACAGGTGGGGGCGGGGGGAGACTGCCTGGGCTGCCATCTTTAGCACTCGCCCCCCCCCCCACAATTCCATCATTCCTTCTTCAGTGAGGGCCGCAGCGGCAACCAGGTTAATTTTGTCTCATTTTTCATTTCCCCCTAGTAGCTTAAACTTTTTCCTTCCAAAACGGGGGGAAAAATTTCTTTTTGTTTAAATTGCCAAAGTAAGTTCTCACTGATTTTGAAGGCTGAAGGTGAGTGGGGCCAGCCACTTCAGGGCTACGGCTGACCCATGTGGAAGAACCAGACAATCTGGACACCACGTATTTCCACAACTTTGGCTCCAAGGGGCTGCTTCTCACTACAATCTTCTCCCTCTGCTTCCTGTGGCATTTCCCTCTCTGCCTTGTGACCAGCTGCCTCCAACATCTGCAGCCCCACTCTTGGCCGCGGCCTGGCCCGAGGGACCTGGGCTTGCAGCCCCCCACTTCTGACGGGGCTTGAGGAGCCAGACTTGGATGGATTTTTACCCGTGTGTGCCCGGGATGGAAAGAGACTGACCACGCACCCAAGCCAGGCTGGCAGGAGACTGAGATGGGGACACGGAGATAGAAAGGAGATCAAACCAAGTGGCATCTGGCCCGTGACTGAGCAGAGAAAAGGGAAACTGATACCTCCAGGTGCCCTCAGGGCAGGAGGCTCGAAGGTGAGGCCCCTTGGAAGCTGGAGCTGAGAAATGAGTCAATTGGCAGACAGAAAAAACAGGTTCAAGGGGAAAAAATCACAGAGGCTTAGAGCAAGTGAATGGCTGATTTGCGAATGCACTGGCAGACAAAGGGGGCAGGAATTTTGAATACAGATTAAACTTGCAGATAACATTTGGCCTTTCTCACTCATGGAGGCAAATATCAAGCTGAGATATTCAAAGGCGGTATTATCTTGGTCTAACACTTTTTCTTTTTTTGCTATGGGCTAGGGAAAATGGAGCGAGCTCAGACAGTGGACTCCTGGTTTACCCAGGCAGCTGACCCCTGCTATACAAAGTAACTAGCTGGTTCTGTTTCAGGGTAAAGAGAGGCTGGGGAGGGGGTCCACAGTAGAAGATGGAAAGATTTTTTTGGCTTCTTGCTCCTCTGGCCAGATGAAGATGCAGGAAGACTGTGAGCAGGCCCACCTACCTAGGGGCTGGGGAGAAGGGAGGTTTTGGTCTTGGCTCCTTCCAGCAGGGAAAGCCACCCAGAGACTGATCCAGTCGGCAGAAGCAGCCTTGGAGACGGGATGTAGCACGTCCATGGAAGGATGCTGTCCACAATCAGCCCCCTCAGTGTGCTTAGGAGCTAAGAGGGCCGGTGGTATCCGCCCATCCCAACTCCCTCTCCCAGTCTTGTGTGCCCAGGAGGCCTGAAGGGATTTCACAGTAAGCAGCCCCTCTCAGCCTACGGCGCCCCTCCCTGCTCAGTCACTTGTCAGCAAATGATCCTGTGAAGAAGGCACCCGATTAGAATACAGCTCTGAAACCCCAAGTCCTGTACCGTTATACACTCACTCCTTACAGTGCTTGATCCCTGCTCAAAGTCACCTTGCGGCTGTCCCCCAGCCAGGGGCGCAAGATCACACCGCGGGTCCCCGCCAGAGGGCGCAGTTGGCAGGCAGCAAGCACCCGATTCCGGGCTGGGGGCTCCGGGCTGGGGGCGCGGAGGAGGCCCTCCTCTGCGCCCTGCAGCCAACAACGCCCTCCTCGCCTCTCTGCAGGCGGAAGACCCACGCTCCAGAGAGCAGGTTCAAGTCCCCAGACAGGCCAACCAGATACCCATGCATCTCTGGGCAGGTTCCCAGCAAGCAAACGGCTCGGACTGCTCGGCAAAGAGTAGGGAGTGCCACTTTGCATGCAAACTTGTCAGCAGCTGTTCCTTCTGTCTGGTCGGGGGGGAGGGGGGGGGAAGCCATCAGGGACAAAGTTGTCCTCTTCTTTTGGGAAGTTCGTACTGAACACCGGCTGGCTAGACAGGACGGGGAGTCATTTGAGGACCCTCTCTCTCCCTCTGTGCTGTGTGACCTGAGTGGAGGGAGACGCAGGCAGGCCGAGAAAACAGCGGCTGAGTCCCCAACCTGAGCGTGCATGCTGGGGCAGTCAGCCTTCAGGCAATGCTCAGTGAAGTGTCTTGGTGGAGGGTGCCTTTCCCTCCTTTGGAGGGGCTGGAAACAGTCCCCCAGGCCAGGACTGGGCAGGAAGAGGAGATGGGACATCACTCTCAACAGGCAAGCGTACCTTGTCTACTGCTCAGCTCTAAGGGTGTGAGTGTGTGTGTGTGTTTCGTGTGCGTGCGCGTGCGCTGGGAGGGAGGGGGTCTCGGTATGTGTTGCTGAATAAACAGTGCTGAGATTTATGAATCGGGACATCATGACCCCCGTCCCAGAAGAGGACAACGTCTTGCAAACACCTTGGCATTTCTGCTGTAGAAGCCGTGAGCGTTGAGTGGCCACCAGGCAGTTTGGGGGCTCGCTGTGGGGAGCAGGGCTACGTGTCTGCCAGCCACTCTGGGCAGCGTCCCCATCAGCGGTTTAATTCTGGGCAAGTTCCTCCTCGCCCCTCGCCCCCACCCCCCAGTGTCCTCTGGGCTTTCCGGGTCCAGGCAGCCAGTATGCTCAGGGAGGCAGCTGTGGTGCAGAGAAAGGGAGCACTGGACTTGGAGTCAGAATTCCTGAGTGGGACCCTGGCCCTGACCTTCCGGCTGTGGGCCTCGGGTAAGCCCCTCAGCCGCCAGGGCGCTCATCTGTGTACCATGTGAGCGCAGTCTGCCTTAGCCTGCCTCTCGGGGGGCTACGTGAGAATGGGAGAAAGCACTTTGTAACTTGTTGAGCTGAAAACAAACATGCCTATTTTTAAGATAGCTGGGTAGGCAGAGCCCAGTAAGGCAGGTACCATGGGCAGATTTAGGAAAATCTGATACAGGAAAATACAATTCACTGGCCATACAAATCAGGAAGGGATTTACTAAAGGATCCAATTCATCTGCCCGGTGCACTGAATCATGCTGGACCCGGATGAAGGACTCTGAGACAGGGGGGGCAGGAAAGCAAGGGCGTGGAATCTCACTGAGGCCAGCAAGAGGAAATGCATTTGACTTACAGTGGGAGGCATTTTGAGTTGGATAAAAAGAGGAACTTCCTGCCTATCAAGGGAATGAAACACCTTGATGGCTGAACCAGGAAACCCCAGGGAATCTTATCTCAGAGACCCTAACAAAGGTTGGTCCTGCAGGCTTAAGTCCTCACTTGTAGGGGCTCAATCCACAGCTCATGGGTACCTCAGGGTGGAGCCTGCCTTCCTGCTGGCACACAGTCTGCCCGTGGCTCTGCCCAACTGTGGTCACAAGGGGCTGGGCTGAGAGCGGTTAGTCACTGGGGGAGGGGACGAACAGCCTCAAAAGCATGGAAGTGCCGATGTCCGTAGAATCCCTAAGTGATGCCAATGGACCTGACACAGAAAGCTAGAGCCCAGGACTATAAGGGGCGGGGGGGCACCTCTGGGAGTGTCTGGCTCCAAGATCTGAAAATTGGATTATTACTGATCCAGACAAAGGAACTGTTTACAAAATCCTTTCTAGTTGAGCTCAACGCACATATCCGGGACAAGCCGGGGCCCCGCCAAGTCCCAGCATGAGACCGTGGTCTTGGTTTGGTGGGTCTCACATTTCACCAAAGCGCAGGGCCAGCCCTCAAGACAATTGCAGTCATCTGCCTTGTGAATTATCTGCTGCTGCCAGGTTTCATCTGGGGTGGGAGGCTCTGGTGGCCCCTGGCACATTTCCAG